CATCAATAATTTGGAAGGATCTAGAAGGCTAGAATGTAATTGAAATGAGACAGACTGCTTTTTGTGAAGACTCAGTGTCAATGCTCCCTACCCCACTCAACCTCTTCAAGCCTCCCATAGTAGCTGGGGCATATTTCTGCCTTGGCTCATATCAAAATCTGTTGTTATACCTACCTCTATTTTGCTCCATGGACTCAGTGAAGCAGAGAATATATTTAATTAATCCATTTATGTTAGCACCCATAAGAGTTCCTGGAGAATATTACAAGCTCAACAAATATTTGTTTGAATGATTGAATGAAAGTAGGAATTAATGATTGGATGATTTCCACCACGTTGTGAGCATTAGCAAACTGTAGAACGTGTGTGGGCCAGAATTTGGTGTTCTGGTTCCACGGGAGCTCCTAGCACAGTAGCCTATTCTAAAGAATGGTAAATTTCATACTTAATCTGCACTGTTAATCCAAAAATGTGCCTTTATTTGAAAACTAATTCCAATATACCCTATATATCTTAGAAGCGTTATGATGCCTCCTCGTAAAACTTCCAATTATGTGTTCACAAATTTGTTTTTAACCTGTCAAGCGTACATTGCTCCTCCTGCAACATATCTATTCTATTCTTAGCGGAATCACTGGATTCCAAATCACAACAGCATGCTTTGTTTCAGCAATAATTTAGCAGATACACACCCAATGCTACATGGAAAGATGCTTATTATTTCCTGCATCTCTGCCTTTAGCTCGTCTAACCCTTTTTCTGACATCTGTGACAAAAGGACCTCCTCCTCCCCAGTCTGTTTTGCTCCCCGAGCTGCTGTGGAAAGAGCAGTGAACTGAGAGCTAGTTCAGGGACTTGGTCCCAGGGTTGTTACTGTCTTGAGTTAATTAGGCTTTGAATTCATACTGTAACTGCTTTGGGCCTCCATTTCCACATGTAGAAAATGAGGAGGATGCAGCAGATGATAACTATAAAAAATAACGAAAAGTTCTGTTTATTAAACTTTGACTGCATGCAAGGAACTGTACTTTGTGTTTTACCTACATTATCTCATTTAATATTAATCTTCCAAATAAGTGTATAAGAGGTATCATTCAGGGTCCAGCAGCAAACAGATGGTGCATGTCAAATTGGGTAATTTGAGGAGTGCTTCGTAAAGGGACTAGATTAAAAAGGTGTGAGCAGGGTGTTAGGAAACCACAAGGGACAGTGCAGTGCCCCAAGGCTGGAGCAATGGTTACCTGAACCCAGAGAGAGAGCGCTGTAAAGAGGGTTGCCCAAGCTGTGGCTGGGATGCAGCCAGCTCACAGGGACCCTGGGAATCAATACTTGGACCTCACTCTGCCCATTCTGGCAAACTCAACAGGAAGCAAGGGCTAAGGTAGCATTCTGAAATCAGCCTCCAGAACCATGGAGCAGGATGGAGAAAGTGAAGAGTGAATGTGGAAGGGCCAGAAGACATCCAGTAATATTAAATATAGTCATCCTGATTTTGTTTATGAGATTACTGAGGTTCAAAGAAGTCAAGTGACTGACTTAAGATTACACGGTTAGTACAGGACAGAACCAGGATTCAGCCCCTTCCTGTCAGACTCCAGAGCCTGAGTTCCCAACTGCTCTGCATCCTGGGAGCCCTTTTTGTCCTTCCAGGGTTAGACGCAGCCTCAGAAGTCATCTAATTCAACCCTCTCCCTTAGAGATGCTTGAAAGAGGTGTCTTTCCATTTAGGACATGAACCTTGCAGAGACCTCAGTCAATTGGAAAAGCTACTGATCTGTGTGGTCCTTCTTCCTGTTCCCATACTTACGGTTTACATCTTGAACACGTAATTTTGATTTATGACCCTGAGTGAAACACCGGCAGGGACAAAGTTGTTAGACAGTCAGAGGGAGAGAATAGCATTTTTTATTATTTTTAAAAAAAAAAAAAACCTCTTTCTTCTGACATGCTCTCTAAATTCAGCACAATTAAAGGATTTTCCTCTCCCAAAGAGTAATCTAGTGTATTGTGTGGGGAATGGAGTGGGGAGTAAACCAATGATTGGATTTTCCTCTCTCACGTGCTGGAATTAGAACACAGCCCGACTATGCCAACTGTGTTTCAGTAGACTGTGGAAGAAGTGAGCAGGATGTGAGATGTTTAAAGGAAGTGAAACTGAAAACTAGTATTAAGCATATTCTTCAATATTCCTGTGAGGGCCCTTAAGATAAGAAAAGGAAAGGAAATTCTCATAGAGTGAGTAGTCAGAGGTTGTTAATGAGTCCTTGTGTGAGAACTAAATTTGCTTAAGAGGGAAGACTATAGTAATTATCTGAGGTCAAGGGGCCCACCCCCAATCTGTCTGCTCTTCTGTCAAATAGAGATAAAAGTCCCACTCAAGACTCTTGGTAACGGGGAACTCTTCTCATACAAGCACTTCCTGACCTCCAAACAGGTTGTGGTCCCAGAAAGTCTGGACTATAGTTGTTGGGAATATGAAACAACTCTTCGAAAGGCCAGGCTGTTATAAACTGTGACCCTGGACGAGGCCACGGTGCCTATTTAGATCCAGAATCTAATTCAACTGAAGTTGCAAATGTACTTCCTGGTATAAGGCAAGAAAGGTAGTGACAATACGGGGAACTGGGCCTGGCCCTACCCCACGTCAGGTCCTGCACCCGGCCTATTCTCATTACCTCTCAGAGCTCATAGCTCTGGCACCTTCAGGCCCAGCTCAAGAATGGAAACTCGAGCTTCAGGCAGGCTGGAGTGGCGGCTTGGTTGGCCTTCTCTGTTACTGACAGGACTTGAAGAGGCTGCTGGGGATAAACGCTGAGTGTTTTGGCCCTGATATGCCTCACCTTGGGCTCAAATGCCTTTTTTGTTTATTTTTTTACACCAAAGTGGGTGATTTATCCTTTATTCCACTTTATAAGGTGGAATAGTTACATTTTTGTTTCAATTGTTTGACAAACTTCCTAATTTTAGCAGAATGTCTGCCTACGAGTAATGAGGTGCTATGAGTTCAGAAAAGGGGCATTTTAATTACCTTTTCAAAGACCATCAACATGGCCTGAGAGAACACTCTCAGGAGAAAAAGTTCAGTTCAGGCTGGGTTTTAACTAGCTGGTGAATAAGAAGAAAACTCCAGAAAACCTGCATATAAGACATCTTTTCCAAGAAAAGTGATTTTCCTGCCATTAAACCCTAGCTAAGCAGGTTTTTTAATTGCTTGCGAATTAGCAGCAGCTTCCTCATGTCTTGGTAATGAAAATGGGGTTAGGGCAGAATGAAGGGAAAGAAAACACAGTGACCAATGGTGAGCCAGTGTTAAGAGAACTCTCTCTTCAACCAAGTGCTGTGTATGTGAAAGTCAGCATCTACTTATGAGAAACTGGGAGGTGAAAGGCGCTCCTATTTAGGCCCTCTAAAGATAAAGCATGGCAAATCATCCTAAATTTGCTCTCAAATTAGCTTTGACTTAGTAATTTACGTGGTAATTTCCCCAAATTGGGGAACGGAAAATAGGGGTAAAGTGGCATCTAATAAACTTACCTTTTAGGATAACTGCTTGGTGTGGGGGGTGGCGCAGGAAGAGGAGGGCAAGAGAAGAGGAAGGAAAAAACTGAGAGAGGGAGAGGAGAAAGGAAAGGAGATAGGAAAGGAGAAAGGGAAGGAGAGAGAACTCTGCCAGTTGACTTCATTTCCACACGAATCCACCCACTCTGAGCTTCTGTTGTTGCTTTGTTTATGCAAAGTTAGCAGGGCTGAGACAGAGTGAAAAAGCTGAGAGATCCTCGCTGAAGAAGGCAAAAATAATTTTTAAAATGTAAATGAAACTAAAACACAGACACACACACACACACACAGACACACACACTCCTTTGGGTCGGGGCAATCCCTGCCTGCAGACTTTGAAATGAAAACACGCCGAGGAGGGGCGGGTGGGAGGCCCAGCAGCGGCGGGGAGCGTTGTTGGTGACCGAAGGAGCTCTGGTGAATATCAGGTTCGGATTAGTGACAACTCAGAAGTCACGCCGGCGGTTGGGGGAGGGAAGTTTGCCAAGGTCTGTGAACTCGACGGGAAGAGAGAGCAGCTTCCCCTGGCGCCGGGCGGAGCTGGGCGTACCCGGAGAGCCCTCTGTCCCGGCCCGAGCTGGCCCTGCCGCGCTCACACCCCGCCCAGAGATTGAGTTTGTCAGCGATCATAAAATGGGAATTGATTATTCCAGCCATCATTGATTAGGCAAGAATGCTTACTGCAGCAGCGGGGGAAAGGTTAAGAGGAAATTGACCTTCTTCCTAGGTGACATAAAGTCATTAGGTAAATGAGATATTCACACAGGAGTTTTAAAAGGTCATGCTCAATTTTTATTTGTAGCCTGAAGAGTCCACCAGGAGCTTCGGCTCAGGGCGGAGACCCCGCTCCTCGGGACAAGTGGACCGACAGGAAGAGAACTCTCGCGGCCCGGGCCAGGGGCAAGAGTGGAGAGTGGGTTATTGTCTTGGGAGGATCACGTTGGAATCGGCGAGGGTCTTGGGACCCCTGAGCTTTGTACCTCCTGCTTGACCCATGCGAGCGTTTCTGCGTCTCTGTGTGCGCGTGTGTCCCTCTGGAGGTGTATGCTTCGCGCCCGGGTCTCCTGGTGGCATTCGCCCACCAGCCAAGGAACTTCAGGCAAAGGCAGACAATTAAAAAACCCTTACCCTCCCAGAGCCGGCCACGGCTCACACCGAGCGAAAGTGTTTTGTTTTTTTTTAAAGGAGAGAGTGAGAGATGTATTTATGCACATATTTATCCCTCTAATTATAGGAATTAATCCTCTTACTTATGACTAAAAGGTAACGTCGAAGGACGTCCCTTTGATGTGGAAAAGCATCATTTGTGACTCACATTCAGACTGATTAAGGAATAATTGTTGTTAAACGCTTTACAAGTGGAGAGTGTTTAATTGAGGGGCATTCGTAATTTTACGGCTTAGCACAAAATTAAACATAATTAAAAACTCAGAAATTCCAACTGATTTTCCAATTATTTTTATTGTCTGAGCTAATTGTTACACAAGGGTGTCACTTCTCCCCAAAGGCATTAAAAAGAAGGGGAAAAAAAGGCAACCATACCTTTCCCAATTATTCGCCGAGAGGATTCAGAGCTTTCTCCAGGTACAGGCCAGGTAAAGGACCTTGCTCGCTCTCCCCTCTCGGTGCGCCTCGGGGCCCTCCCTCCCCCACCGTAATTAAGCGTTTCAGCCACTCTCCCCTTTCTCGGAGTTCCTGCAACACCTTGGGATGTGAGAAAGTGATGGCAGTTCTCTTCTGCAGATCATTACAGCAAAACTGGAAGTATCTGTAGAAGGCTGATGAATTTCTTGAAGTAACACTTGTCATACACGGCGGAGAGATTAAAAAAACCTAAATAAACACAGCTCTCTGGGGGCGATCCCTCGATGCCTCTGCCTTCGAGTTTGTGGCAGGAGAGAGGTAACACACAAACACGGACTGGGAGATGTTTATAAACGTGCACACGAAGACATACAGATGCACGCAGGAAACTTTCTTCTCCTTTTTTTTTTTTTTAAGGCAAAGATGGGTTTGGAAAATTTTAGTTGAATTATGGACTTTTTTTTCTTTTTTTTTTTTCTTCTAATGCTGGGATTGACGGCATAGAGCCAAGCTGTCTTTGTATGTGTAGCTTCTCATAATGTCCAAATACATTTATTTAAATGCATTTAAAAGTTTCTAAAAGGTGCCTCAGTGTTACGGAAACGAGAACACATCCTTAGAGCTAGTCCAGAAGTGGCCCTGTCTCTCCTATCAGACTTGCAGGGAATCCTAGAAAAAAATAAAAAGCATTAAATTAGGCAGAGTGTGAATTTATAAATTTCAATTAGTCTAGGCAGAAAATGTGGAGCGATGAAATGTTTGCATTTCAATCAGCGTCTTTAATTTCTCTGTGATATTTAAGATAGAGACTTCAGTGGATTCCAGCTTTCTATCCGACTTTCCCATCCACCCCCCATAAAATAAATGATTGCCTCTGATCTGACGTGCCAGGTGAAAATGGGTAGAATTAAAACTGTCAATTCTGCTTCCAACTTGTGTCTTTCGATTGAGTTCAAAAGCTTTTAAAGGTAAAACGTGCTGATCATTTATATGTATTATTTCTTTTTCTCCTATCACAGCTTTTAAGTAAAAAGAAAGAAAAAGTATTTCTATTTCCAAATTCATTTTCCTTGGACGATTTCAATCTTCCAGGTAATTTGATGGTGGACCCTGACACGTGTGAGAACGTCTGCCCGGAGCAACCCGGTTTACACCAGCCGGGCCAAGGAGATACAGTAAAGTCCCGTTTTTCCGTTTTTCTACCTAAATGGCTTATTGGGAGCTGAGATGTGGATATTTAAACCTGAAGCTTTCCAAGTACTACAATACTATTTCGGAGAAAAGGCTAGAGTAGGCAGACTTGGGAAGAAAGGATGAAGGCTCCCTTTGAAAGTTAGAAATGGTGAAAAAGACATGTAATCCGATGTGGAAAATTGAGTAAAAGAGGCAGTGTACACTTTAGCTTAGGCAAAGATTGCTGAATCCTTTGAAGAAACTGACACGGATTTTCCAGAGATGGGAGGAAAGAGAGAGATGGGGTGGGGGTGGGGGAATCCTAGGGTGGGCATTTTATGTAAATGAGTAAATTCAGAATATAGTACAAATCCAGTATAGTAAAAGTGACAGTTCTGACAGTATTGACAACATAAATATATGTTTGAACACCGCACTTTCAGACACTTAACCGATGAAGCAATAAAGAAATTCGACTACAATATTTCAAATAATCGACATTGATGTTTTGATACATCATTTTTATACTCCGAATCGATCTATCACTCTGGGGCTGGTCAATTTTAAGTAAAAATGGGCTGCAATTATTTGCACCTTGGCTAATGATGACCTAATAACAGTCTTCAATTAATTACACCCGAACTGTGCTTTCTTCCTTCAGCAAGGGGCGGGGGGCAATTCTTGAGGACTAGAGCCTGTGATGCTGTCATCCTACCCCCTCCTTTCCAGTCTACTTTTGAGATTATGAGGAGGGAGGAGGATTTCTGAACTAGGAAGGGGTCTTTGTCTGGTGACCACCGACACCGCAGGCTGAGGTCCTCCAATTTCAAGTAGCCACTGACTGGGTCTGTACTGGGGATGTGGTCCTCACTAGTACTTTGCAAGGTCAGAAGTAAGTTTTAGAAAATGCACTCATAAAGTTGAGTGAGTCTGGCCCTACCCCAGGCCCCATATCCTTTCCTCAGTTTCAAGGACTAGATGGAAGAGATTTGCCTAAAGGGAGAACTGGAGATTTCTTTAAGGCTCAGAGTGGTGTGTGTGTGTGTGTGTGTGTGTTGAGAGAGAGAGAGAGAGAGAGAGAGAGAGAATAAGAATTTTAAGAGAGTATCTAAAGCATCAAGTCAGAGTTGAATCTCTCCTTCCAGCCCTATCCCCTCTGACTGCTCCCCACAGATCGCTGAGGGTTTACAGGCTACTGTTTTTGAAAAAAAAAAAAAAAAAGCCACAAATAAGAAAGCAGACGAATCTCTGCTGGAAAGGAGGGAGGATGCTTGTGCCTACACTGCATCCTCAAGCGTGCGTTCCCTCAGTCTCTGCTGCTGGCTTTCTCCTCTTTGCCCTGTGGGGTTTCCAGTGAGCTTTCCTACTCCCACTTCTCTTTCCCACTCCTCTCCAAATTTGGTGTGGTGGTAGTTGTTGGGGAGGGAGGATAGAGCTAGTTCATTTAAAAAAAAAAAAAAAAATCCTGGACAGGCCCAGGATACAAACTCGAGCAGTCTATTGTGATGTACGGATCCGACGGGCGGGAGTCGGGGGATGGGGGGCTGGCTCGCGCCCCCACTCCAGCGCTCTCCCGAAGGCCGGGCGCCGTGCGATGCTGCTCCCACCCCTGGGAGGCTCCGACCCTTCCTCAAACTCGCACTGAGACTCGGCCTCCTGACCTAAAACTTAGCTGGGCTCCACTAGCTGGGATTCCAGTGTCTGACTTCTTTCCTCCAAACTTCACAAATGCCTGTATAAGCCCCTCCAAATCACCGCTGGCTGAGACGCTGGGACTTTAAGCAACATGTTAAACAACGTGAAGATGCTAATGAAAGGAAAAAGATGTGTATGACCCACATTGGGGGAAGGTGGGAGCCCTAGGAGAGCTCGGTGGCGCCGGAGCATCACCTAGTTCCGGGGGGGATCAACCTACGACCGGGTCGTTCCAAGCCGTCGGCCCTGGAAAATGAGAGTGGGAGCAGAAAAGAGGAAGCAGGAAGAGAGAAAAGGAGGATAGGCTCAGAGAGAGGAAGAGACAAGAGAAAGAGAAGGGGAGAGGAAGAAAGAAAGGAAGGAAGAGAGGAAGGAAGAGAGCGCGGGAAGGAGCCGGAGGCACAGAGAGCAAGCGCACATCGCATTTGGAGACCCGCCAGATAGCGCTAGAGGGCTATTTATTGAAATGCTTTCCTTCTGCGAGCTGGTGAAGCAGCTAAAATTGGGAGAAATAAGAAATAAGGGGGAGTGAAAGGAAAGAAAGTACAATGATTCCACCTCATCTTATTTAAGAAGATAAATTGAAGGGTGCTTTATTAATATTAATGGGGGTGGGAAGTGGGGGAGAAAAATACACGGTAGAAAGCTTAAGTGGGGAAAGGACCAAAAAACAAAAACCAACCAAACAAAAAAAGTCCTCTTTCCTCCCTTGATCCCAACTAGGAAGAGAGTGAGCAAAGCTAACAGGTACGAAAGGGAGTGAAATTCTTCCTAGTCCAACTTTCAGAGCTGCTACTTAAGCTGCTGGGAAGGTCAAGAACAGTTCACCAGGATGAGCTGAGGTTTACAGAGAGGAGATGTTTTTAAAGTAATAGACGGCTGCAAGGGGGTGGGAGGGAGAGGCAAACACGTTATTGGAAATGCCAAATAAAATATATATCAAAAATTCCAACTGTCAGCCAGCAGGTCTGGAGCAGAAGAGAGCCCCTCCGCCTTTGTCCCAGCGATGCTGGGCTCAGGGCTGTTTCTGCAGGGCCGCAATCAAACTCCTTGAATAACAATTTATAAATACTCTGGGAAGCTTGGAGAAAAGAGCTAGACGATAAAAATTCACTGTTGCATTCAGAACCCAAAGAACAGTGAAGCAGATGGAGAGAGAAAACCTAGTGACAGAAGCGGAGTCCAAAGAGAGAAAGAGAAAGAATAAAATATTTTGATCTTTTTTACTTGCTCAGGTCAGTAATGCAAGAAAGAAAACTTCTTTCAAATAATACTTTCCTTTAAAGTATTGATTTGGTTTTATTCTAAAACCCCTGGCATCTCACACATCTAACTTCTTATTTTAAAAATTGCACTTTTCTTTTACCTGAGGAATTTTTTGAATCAAAGTAATAGTTAGCGTGTTTTTTCCAAACCAGCAAATAGAAGCGCCACAAATAAAAATTAACCTTATGGAGGAAAAAAAAAATCTGCTTAATCCAAAATACTCCAATTCAAAACGTTAACTAAAGTTACAAATAAGATTAAGGTTGGATTTATTTGCTCCTCTAACATGGTGTCAATTGTTCTAACTGTTGTAAGAAGACAAAAAGGATTTAAATCCAGCGATTTTAATACACAGATTAACACTTCGGACCTCACAGTTCTAAGGAATTTGGAGTTATCTGTGATGAGGACCTATAACTTTCTAGAAAAAAAAAGGTTAAAAGAAACAGACACACAGGCTCCTTAAGGAAGGTGGGCAAATTCACCTAAAATAGACTCTTGAGTTCATAAATGCTCATTTCGAATTAAATACTCTCCATAAAGCCAATGCCCTTTAAATTAAGTAATTATAGAGGGACTCAATTATTCTTTTCAAATCTTAAATGTTACCTGTAATAGCATCCCATGTTGAGACAAAAAAGAAAAGGAAAAATAGAAAAGAAGCAGTTCTCAGAAGTCTTGGGGATGCTTCAATAAGAAAGAGGTGATTAAAAACAGACTCTTAAATTTGAGAGGAGGCCCGTTCCACCTCTCTTTCACCCCCACCGGATCAGGTCCCCCCTGATCTCCCCACTTTACCTCATTTTTAGGCAGTGCCCCCACCCCCACTCCAGAGCTAAGTAGCCGATTTGGGATTCTGAAGAAATAGGTTTCAGCATCCATATTTGTTCTGGGGCACTTGTAAAATGCGATTTGTAGAGGGTCTTTAGCCTTCTGATTGTCTTTGAGTTGTTTTTACTGAAACAGATCTTTTGCAGTTAATGAGTCCCCACGCAGCTGGACAGCTCCTCTCGGACACTGAGAACTCTAACCCCAAAATGACCCCAATTTGACACCGCAAGATGAAATTTTACCGCCTGTTAAAACCATTTCCAGCCTGGGCAAAAGGAGTTGACTGTTGACGGAGGTGTGGGCCGCCTCCTTCGACCCCCAGCTCGCGCCAGTCTCCCCCGCCTGCCCCACCTACTTTTCCTTCACCCCAAATGTGGGAGAGCTGATGAGGCTCGAAGCCTGGGTGGGGGTTCGGAGGCTGAGAATGGAGCATCAGCAATGTCCTATCAGGCTAGAAATCAGACAGCGTGCATACCCCCACTGCTGTGCAATCACTTCTATCAGATGGCAGAACTGGGGATGGGGGGCAGACCAGGAAGTTCTCAGTGTTTTTCAGCTCTATTAATTAATAAACCTTCAGCAAGTTGGTGATTAAAAGTAACAGTTCTTTGAATTCATCAGATTGATTAAGAACCGACACCCTGAATCACCTCCAACTTGATCTTGTGTGTAATCCACTGCACTGCAATGTTATTTTAAACTAACAGTTTCATAAATGACATACAACTGGGTGAGTGAAATCTCTTTAGTCGCACGAAATTCGGGGTTCTCCCTTTAGGCAACTGGTGAGTTTTTCAATGACACAGATTTTCCTCCAGTAGGGCTTCACTTTTAACACTCTCTCACTTCTTAACTAAATTCTTTGGAGTTAAAGAAGACTTTTTTTTCTTTGACAGTATCTTAAAATGTCCTATTTCTCTCTCCCTCCTACAGCTAGCCAGATTGTCCCTGTTGTTTGCTTTAATGTATTCTATAAAATGCAAAAGAAGTTACAGAATATTAGAAAGAGAGAAAGAAAGGAAGAAAGGAGTCTAGAATAAAATGCCTCCTGAATCGCCCAAAGGATGAAAATAGAGTTTAAAATTTTTTTCTTTTGCAAAACCCAAGATTATCACGGAATAATCAACACATTACAACTTAACAACCATTTGAAAATATAGAAATCATCAATAGGTCCGAATTGTTTTTACTCAGATGCACTGCCATGGAAGAAACATTTTTTTTTTTAATACTAGTGCAGTTTTTCTAAATAAAGGCTGTAGGGAGGCGAGCTCTCTTCACGGTATCTCTATGGAAAAAAAAAAAAAAAAAGCCGTGGTAAAAGAAGCAGAGCGTACAACGCCGAATGTTTAAACTCTGAGATGTAGAGGTTTGGTTCGAAGTTGATCTTTGCAAAAGGAGCGTTTATCAAGCAAATTGAGTTTTCTTTTTAAAAAGAAAAATAATTGGCGCTTAATATACAGACCATTTAAAACAACAATAATCCTATTGGCGACGATAAATACGCAATATTGAAAACAAGAACAATTAGAAGAGGAAAAACTGAAAAACTGAGTATAAACTTCTCAGCTAGCGGTGCTCCTCCGGGAACTTGTGTTCAACAATATTAAGACCTCTGCAAAGTCGAAAACGCTCCGCTACAAGACACTAGATCGGGTTCTTTTCTTTCTCATCCTTCCCGCCCCAGCTAAACTGAAATTCGCGTTAACTGCCGCTTGAAATAAAATTCTGGAAGCCAACTTTTTCTTTTCTTTTCTGTCTTCTTTTCTTTTTTACTCACCTTTTCTTATACGTGGAGGAGCAACTCAGCAACAAATAAGAAGGATGCTTTTAATCTTGGAGTTCTTCTAGGGAGATCAAAATGAGGAGGTGGAGGGGGAAGGACCCTCCCCCCTACCTGCAGGTTTCCCATCCTTCGGATCTTGCAGGCTTGAAGCCCCACACCAGAGTGGCTGAAAATTTCGGCTAGATTCTCCTCCCCGAGGCTCCGCGCGCCCAGCAGTCCCAGCTCCGGCCACCCCGGCAAATACCTCGCCGTCCGCAGCCCCGCTCCCCGGCGTCGCACTCCCCTCGCCTTTGCCAGCCCCTCCACACTATCTTTATATGTGAGGGCCGATTTCCCGCAGACATCATTGTTATGATGGCTCATTTAATCAAACTGTTTAATTGCTCTGGTAATCACTATCATCATCACAGGTGCTCAATCATTCATCATTTTTGGAGGGCTTTATTGACCTCCGGAGCTCATTCCCCAGCCCTATTAAAACGAGGCCAAATTTCTCCGACTCCGCTTGGAGTCTCTGCAGGCTGCGATCGAAACCCAGTTGAGTGTTGCCCGAAAGCTTACAGTGAAGCAGAGAAGACCGAAAGGGGGCCCCCCAAAAAAGCCCACCGTCCTTCCTTCATTCTGTCCTTCTCTCTCTCTCTCTCTCTCTCTCTCTCACACATACACACACACACACACACACACACACGGTACTTTATTCTCCCTGCGTGCCCCCATCCGCCAGGAACTCGGATCAAAGCCGCGTGCGGAGGATAACGCTACTTTCTACTCTCCAGAATGGGTTCAAAGTTGGAGAGGGAGGCGGCTGTTGAGGAACAGTCTGTTTTCGATTCTCTGGGCCGGGGACCATGAACCAGGGCGAGAGCGAGGAGTAGGGGGTCGGCTGCCCTCGGAGCGCAGGGCCAGGCTGCTGGGCGGCGGGGAGCCGGGGAGCGGCGGCGGCGGCGGCGCTGCGCGCGCGGGATGACCATAGCTCCGCCCCCAGCTCGGGGCTCCGAGTGATTGACGCGCGGCGGCCGGGAAACCCGCGGCGCTGAGGTGAGGCTGGGTACAGCTCCGGCCAGGGATTGGGTGAGACATCGGCCAGAACTACTTTCTACACAAACGGTGCGAGATAGTTACCTTCCTTCCCCCCACTCTCCTCCTTTTTCCTTTTTGGAAAAGTTCATTCCAGTCGGCCCCATCTTCCCTATCCCGCGAAATTGCCCGGGATAATTAACACAGCCATTAGCCCGCAAAACCGCGCCCCGGCCTCTGCGCCCCCGGCGACCACAACAAAGCTGGGCAGGGAGTGCGGGCCAATTCTCCTCGCATGGCATCTTCCCTCTGCCTCTCTCTTTCTCTCTCCCTGTCTTTTCCTCCCGTGCTTCCCAGCTCTAAGTGAGATCCACTTCGGAGGCGCACACCAATCGCGCGCGCGCGCGCATACACACATACACACAAACACATACAGACACCCCTGGCGACATCAGACAACATCAAACAACCAAACGACTCTTTCCCCACTTCCTCCCTCCCGATTCCGCCACGGCCCCAAAGACTCTCTGGGGTGGCCCTGGTCCGCACGGCTTGGAGGGAGTGCTCTCTGAGTTAAGCTGGTCTCTTCTTGTCCTGGAAAAAATGAATGCTGACATCAAGGGTCCTGGATCTGCAGAGGGAAGAAAGTACCACTTAAAAAAAAAACTCTAGCCCTGCCGTGGTACCGTCTGCAGCGCCGGCTACCCCTGGATGTTAGCGGAAAGCCTTCGGGCGCGGGAATCGGCTGACAGAGGAGTAGGGCCCGCGGAGTTAAAAGGAACAAAAGCAAGAGCGCCATGCCAAACGTCCCCGACACGACCCGGTTAGGCAAGAGCCCGGAGTGATGGGAAAATGAACTAGAAGTAAGTTTTATTTTTTTAAAAAAATTAAAAGATCTGAGGCTGTACCGTACTTTCCCTGTGGTTTTCTGCAGTTTTCCTCTCTGCGCTCTCCCTGTCCTCTTCATTCTCTCTCTCTCTCTCTCCCTCTTTCCTCGTGAGCGCGCGCGCGCGCACACACACACACACACACACGCACACACACAAGCGCGCGCTCCTCTTCCTCCTCCCCTTCCTCCCCCCCCCCCCCCCCCCCCCCCCCCCCCGCGGAGGAGCAGGCTCTCTGATTTGTTCGGGTCTGCTCGGCTCCTGCCTCCCCTCCCCCTCCCGCCCCCCGCCTCCCCCGCCCCCCCAGCCGGGGCCGTCCGATCGCACTCGCTGCATATCAGAGGCTCGGCGCGGCGCGCTCCTCCTCGCTCCCGCTCCCCACTCCCGGGATGTGTCTCCGCCGTACGACGGGCTATGGCCACCACGACTTCCGGGTTCCGTCATTTCGTTCTCCCGCCGCCGACCCGCGCCGCCAAACTGAGGCTCTTCTATAAGCCAGGCAGCAGCCAACCTGCCAACACCTACTGACACTCACTCATCTCCCAGAGAGAGAAAGAGAGCGAGAGAGAGCGAGCGAGAGAGCGAGCGCGAGTGAGAGCGAGCGAGCGAGAAAGAGAGAGAGGGAGAGACAAAATACCTACCAGGAAAGGGGGGGGAGGAAGTCCAATTTTTGCAAACTATTCATTTTTTTTCTTGATTTTTTCTCCCCTGCTTTCTTTGAACGATACTTTAAAGAGAGAGGATCATATTATAGATACCGCGGGGGCAAAGCTAAGAGAGGGGGGGAGGGGGGAGGAAAAAATTCAAGAAGCAGAAACCCCTCGTGGAGTTTTACTGGAAGAAAAAAAACGGGTCTCAAAGATTCCTCCTCTTCATCATCATCAACCATCATTCATTCACTACCTTGACATTCCGGGCTTTGATTGACAGCTGGAGTGGCAAAAAGCCATGAAACACGACAGTTCGGTTACATGTGGGCTGCTGACGGGCCGCTCGTAACCTTCAGTTCGGGGGCTTGACAATTTTTTTTTCTTCTTTTTCTTCTTTTTCTTTTCTTTTTTCTTTTTTTTTTTTTCCAACTGAGGGGAAGAGAAGAGAAAGAGGGGGAAAGGAGGACCCAAGAGGAGGAGGAGGGGAGGGGGGAGGAGGAGGAGGTGGAGGAGGAGGAGGAAGATCAGGAGGAGGAGGAAGAAGAGGAAAAAAGAGAAAAAGAAGAAATATCACAGAAAAAAAAACCTCTTCGTTGTCTTGCCTGGGCTTTTTTTTTTTTTTCCCTAAAAATAACAAATTGGAGAATTGGGAGAAGTCTCCTTGGTTTGGAAAAAAAAGGAATCTTCAGCCTAGATCACTTTCTTATCCGGACTGGGATATTAAATATACGACACATCCAGGAGTTTATTGGAGCGCAGACTGATGGCGCAAAGGGTAGGTTTAAATCTCCAACACTTACCTAGATATAAATCCTCTCCTAAGAGGGGCCTGTCCCGATGCCTCCTCTCGCTTCAACGCTGCTGCTGCTGCTCGCTGCTTGATGATGGCGGACAGTATTTAAAAAATAGCAGCAAAATTATTCATCGGCTTCTTTTCCCCCCCGTGCCTCTGCGTGTGTGCGAGTGTGTGTGCGTGCGTGTGTGCGTGTCTGGGCGCGCGTGTTCCAGCGCTGTGCGAGCGGGCGGGCGGCGAGTGCGTGTGAGTGGTGTGTGTGTGTGTGTGCAATTGTTACACGCTTTCGCCTCGCTCCAGCTTTTCCCCCAGCAGCGCGATTCCCCCGGTTCTCCTGCTGCCGCCGCTGCCGCTGCTGCGCCGCTGCCGCCGCTGCTCCCGCGGCTCGGGGCGGGCACCGGCTGCGTAGGAGCCGCCGCCGCCGCCGGGGCCGCCGCTGGGGCCGCGCTGCCGCAGCCGCTGCGCCGCCGCCTAGACTAGCCTGGGCTGCTTGTTTTGTCTCTGAAATTGACAAGGACGCAGGGAATCCGCTGCTAAATAATGTTTCTGGTAACTTTCACGTTATTCCCCTCCTCCCTCCGCTCCCTGCCCCCGGGGAGGCACTGGCCCCAGCCTTCCCTCGTCCTCGGAGTTCTCGTCCTGATTATTAGCGTTTTTCTTCTCTTTATTTTGTTTCATTTCGCCTTTTGATTTATTGGATCCTCTGGAGGAGGCGAAGGGGGGTTAGGGGTGGGATCCGGGGCTTCCTCCTCACACTGACTCCACTTCTCCCTCGGTTGGCTCGCTACGGTTCTGCTGCCTCCGGCCCGAGCGGGACCTCCCGGCGCCCCCTCAGTCCCCGGCCTCACTGCCCCCCTCTCCCTGCTCTAAACGCTGCTCTTGGTTCATACTTTTTCATTTTAAAATTTAAAAACATTTGCCCTCACAACTTTCAACTCCGTTGTTTCAGCTGGTTTGGTTTCTGTGTGTTCAACTCGTGCCTCGGTACTTTTCTCCTTTCTGACTTTGTTTTTATTTTTATTTTCCTCTCTGTCTCTCTCTCTCCCTCCCTCTCTCTCTCTCCCCCTCTCCCCTGTCTCCCCCCTCCTCCTCTCCCTTCTTCCCTTCGTCTTTCTCCCTCTCTCTCATCTCTATTCCTTTCCCACTTCTCTCCTCGCTTTCTTCTTCCTGCTTCTTTTTCTATTCCCCCTCGGCTCTCCCGGCTCTCTCTCACCTCCTGCGCCCCCCTCCCCTGTGCCGGGTTCTGACAGTACGATGAGCTGCCCCATTACGGCGGGATGGACGGAGTAGGGGTGCCTGCTTCCATGTACGGAGACCCTCACGCGCCGCGGCCGATCCCTCCGGTTCACCACCTGAACCACGGGCCGCCGCTCCACGCCACGCAGCACTACGGCGCGCACGCCCCGCACCCCAATGTCATGCCGGCCAGCATGGGATCCGCTGTCAACGACGCCTTGAAGCGGGACAAGGATGCGATCTATGGGTAAACCAACTCCCCCCCCCCTCCCGACCCAGCATACTGTGTGTGAGTACGGTTGCGAGTGCGTGTTTGTCTCTGTGGGAGTTGAGGGGGTAGACGACTAAGAGGGGAGTAATTTCTGCTTGAGGGGGGTGGGGGGGGGGCGCGGGAAACGCTTGCCTTAGGAAAGGACAGTGAAGGGGGCCTGTTCTTCTGCCCCTTGCGTGTAAGCCCCTGGAAGGTATGGCTTCCTCCACCCCCACGGCCCCGTCACTCCGGACCCCACAGCCTGGAGTGACTGAGTCCTCAGAATCTTGCCAGGGCCTCCTCCCCAAGGACGGGATTCCTGGCCAAAGGACGCAGAGCTGGTCCTTTCAGGCCCCCTAAGAGAGGCCTTGACGAAGGAGAAAGTTTCCTGCTGATGAGGAGCAACTTTGTTTTTTTTCTCTTCTGTTTCCTACCGAGAGTCTGGGAGCCACTAAATGCAGCTTGAGCTCGGATCAGGGCTGCTTCTGTCGGCCAGGAAGTCCTAATCACCCACTTCTTAATTCTCTGTAAATAAAGGGGGCAGACCTTGAAGTGCAGCGGGGTGGAAGGGACTGCTGCTTGCACAGAGCCGCTCTTGGGGGGAAGTAAGGGAGATGGCTGGAAATTATTTTCTATTCTGAGAGACCTCGGTGAGGGATGGGGGTGCACGATCCAGACGTGTACCACTCGGGCTCTCCCAGCTGAGGGTAGGTAGGTGGGGAAGGCGGCGGGATGCCGAGGGGAGGGGACACTCGGTAAACAGCAACTGAGCCTGAAGCAAGAGGCCGCAAGCATCCCGAAGTATAGCTAGACCGCCCCGAGGAACACAAAGGGCAGACGCGCACGCACACTTCCAAGTTTTAACATTCGATTTATTTATTTTTGCCTGCTGGAGAAATGTGGTCTCTGGAAGGAAGCTCTTCGGCGTTTAACATTCCTATTATTTTGGCCTCCACACCCGAGCTTTACTAGAGGTAGAGCAAACAAGTTTACAAGGCAAGGGGGTGGAGAGGGTGGACGAGCCCTCTCTCCAATTTAGATTTAGGAAATATCATTCCGAGTGTGTATGTAAGTGAAGCCCTGGGCCTCCTCTGAAATGCCCATTAAAATGCAGAGCGAAAACAATTTTTGATCTCACAGAGTGCTCCTTTCTTGGGAGGTCAGGGCTGGGTCTCAGGGGTTGGTTCGGCGGCCTCTGTAGTGTGAGGAGTGGGTCTGGATCGACTCCGGGTTCCAGACGGCCTGAGCTTCTTGGATGTTTCATTACGTTCCAACTGAGGCTCTTTTGACTTGGCGGGCTAAAGTGACCAGGGGCTTCTCCGGCCTGATCTGAGGGAGTCCTGAGCTGAGGAAAAGGGCCAGGCCGTTTTTCCTTTCTGTTTCTGGCCCAGGCTCGGCTGGCTGAGGAAGGGTTGTAAAGTGTGATGCGTGCCTGTTGTATTAAAGCAGGAATCCGCACCCTCCAAACTTGTTGATTACAGTTCTTGCTCCTTCCCCTCTGCACCCCGTCTCCGTGTGTGTGTCTCTGCGTGGCGCTGCCCGTTAGGCACCCGTTGTTTCCTCTGTTAGCTCTGGTCTTTGAGAAGTGCGAGCTGGCGACCTGCACTCCCCGGGAACCCGGAGTGGCCGGCGGAGACGTCTGCTCCTCCGACTCCTTCAACGAGGACATCGCGGTCTTCGCCAAGCAGGTCCAACCTTCTTGACCCACTCACCCTCCTGCAGCCCCTCACTCCTCCTCCCCTTTCCTCAGAGCTTCACATGAAAGAGGAGGAAAAGGCAGGGACACCCGATCTGTTCCTCCGGCCCAGTCCGCGCTCTACGCCTCCTCCCCATCCCTCAGCCTGGAGGCGAATTGGAAGCGGAGATAAATATGGGTGTTTGTTTTTCCCCCCAGCCAGGAATACAGGGGCTCGACCCTCGAATTAAAGTTGACCTGCTCCTAATCTGGGGCTTGGCCTTTTCCCCCGCCTGCAGCTACTTGAACAAGAATTGGGGATAGGGGCTGTGAGGGACCCGTCAGTGCCCGGGAGGAAAGGAAGCTGGGCGCCTCTCCGGGCGGTCCGCGCCGGGCGCGGAGGTGAGGGAGGCTGAGAGCCACAGCCCTTTGGACAGCAGCATAAGGGGATACCCGGGGTCCGGAGAACGGCCCTGAGTTCCCAGAAACAGCTTAGCTGTTCCAGGTACCCCCTAATGGGGCCAAGGCCAGAAGGCCCTGGTTCTTCTTCAGCGGACCCCACTAATTTAAGGCACTAGTTTATTTCATGTGTTTTACCAAAGCCCCTCTCCTTTTCTCCGCCACTGCACCTCCACCATTCCCGCTCACACCCTACAGTGTAGTCGGTGACAGGGGTGTTCTTCTTTTAAATGGGGTGGCAATTCATGCTGACTTTCCCTGCTTCTTATAGGTTCGCGCCGAAAAGCCACTTTTTTCCTCAAATCCAGAGCTGGACAATTTGGTAAGGCTCACTGTTTCTTGCCTTTCCCCAGCCTGGGCCCTCTCCCTTGCCCAGAAGCACCCACTTTCTCCCCGAGCTCCGGGGAGTTCAGCAGAGCCCTCTTTCGAAGCTCAAGAGCGACAGGGAGGAAGGGAACAGCTCAGAGCCCCCGCAGGGGACATGGGCGTGAGGGGCGGGATGGACGGCAGGGAGAGCGGAGCCCCGGGAGGCCGCAAGCGGGGAGGCAGCGCCGGGAGCGCGAGCGGGGGATGAGTCCCAGGTCTCGGCCCCGGGAGGGAGGCTGCGAGAAGTGAGTTATTTCCTCTGTTTGCCGGGGCAGGCGGCCGAGCCCGGGGCAGCTAACCCGAAGGAAGTAACCGCTGGCGCGGCGGAGGGCGGGCAGGGAAGGTGGGGAGGTGGGGGAGGGGGGGCGGTGGGGGGGCGGGTGAGGGGCAGGCCAGCGCAGGCCACTTTTAGGTGCGATTCTTTTGCTAATTTGCACGATTTCAATATTAAAAGTACTTAAATCCGCTTTCAAAGGCCCTGCCTCGCCATTCATCTTGAGTATTTCCTTCTTTAGTAAGGACAGATTTCGCAGGGTGTGCTGTTCTAAAAAGCTTTCTCTCTCCAAAGAAGCGACTTCTTTTTTTTTTTTTTTTCAATTTGGCCTGAGGTCCAGGGAGGGGATGGTTAAAGAGGACTCAGGCGGAGAAAGAAGGCCTGGCCCTAGGAAAGCAGTCCTTACAAATAGCTCAGTGAACATGAGGGCCAAAGATATTAAATGCTTCAACTCAGGTGGAGTCAGATTCCTACCCCGTGGCCAATGAGGCAGAGATGATCAGTAATGACTTGGTTTTTCTGACAATTTCTTGATCTGTGGCTTTTGCCTGGCTTCTTGCCTTTTTCTGCTCCCCAGCCCAATTTTCTCACCACCCCCCAATAGGGACCTCCGAGTCACAGAGCCTTAACTCCACGCTTGAAACTTTTCTTTCAGATGATACAAGCAATACAAGTTCTAAGGTTTCATCTTTTGGAGTTAGAAAAGGTAAGCAGAAAATGACGCCCCCCACTTTGAGTTAGCCACTTCTCTCTCCTAGTTGAGTTGAGATTTTTTTTTAACAAACCTCCAGTCTGAGGCATTGAACACCTAGAGATTTTGAGCAACATGTTACCATGTCCTTCCTTCAAACTGCTCCTCGATCCAGGGGCTTAGAGGATGGGTGAATTAGGACAGCCCTGTCTTGTAAAGTGGCCTCCCCCTCCTTTTTTCCCCAGGCATTCAGGATTATTTTGAAATGCAGCAAACCATTTGTATTACTGGACATTCAGCCTGCTTGCGTCTCTATTAGCTCAGCTCACCCTCGGCCCAGAGCGGGCATTAGGTGCAAGCCGAGGGAATCATCCTCGCTGGGGTGTCTTTACATGCTCTGCAGTTCAATCACTTTCCCCTGGAAACATACAAAACTCCTAGCTTATTGAATCGCAAATGCTCATGCTGTTCCCACTTCCAGCGTTCTACCGTTTTGATGTTATCATCAAATCGGATTTTCCTCCTTGGACTCCCAGTCTGAACCCAGTTATTTCCAGTCCTGTTCCTTCTCTCTTTCTTGTAACTTGTTGCTCAGGGAAGTCTCCGGAGAATAATATCTGCTGCAACAATTGCTCTATTGTTTCCTTGCCTTCAACTATTACACCCATTAATTAGAGTTAGTTTGGAAGACATGGCACTTTTGCTCTTTCCAAATGTAACCTTGCAAGTTAAGATTTTTTTTTCCCTTTAAAAATGAAACAAAACAATAACAACAACAACAACTACAGGAGCTGAGCCCTCGACCATGACCCTCTTTCTAGGTCCACGAACTGTGTGATAACTTCTGCCACCGGTACATTAGCTGTTTGAAGGGGAAAATGCCTATCGACCTCGTCATTGATGAAAGGGACGGCAGCTCCAAGTCAGATCACGAAGAACTTTCAGGCTCCTCCACAAATCTCGCTGACCATGTAAGTCTGTGAGCTTTTGGCATTCTTTTAAGACCACTGGGCAAAGCTTTTTCTTTTTTTTTTTTTTTTTTTTTGGAGCTTGTTATAACATCTAGCTCCACTGACTTAGTTTTCTTTGCGAATGATTTGGTCTCTTTGGGGGTCTTTTTTCTCACTACCTCTGCCATATCTTTCATCTCCGTTTCCCCTTTCTTGGATTCCCTCCTTATTTATGTTGAGAATCAAAAAAAGCAGGGAGTTGATAGAGTAATTTGTGTTCTTAATGTGTAAAGTTTCCTGGATTTGGTGACTTGAGTGTGAGCAAATTGTCTGTTTGATATGGTGACCGCTGCCTTTTCTGCTTTCTCAACTGTGTGTAATCAGTGCATCAGGGATAGAGAGAGGCAAGACAGCTAGCAGGAGGACAGGAGGAGGGAGAGAGAGGATTGAAGGCAAGGGAGAATTGAGGAGGGAGGGCTGACTTCCCAGTCTCTCACAGAGATGACAATCCTGAAAATTATTGGCAATCTTGCATTGCATTAGAAATAAAAGGAGCGCACACATTACAATTCTCAGAGCTTTTGCTCTATAGAAACTTATTGTCAGAATATGGACTTATTGCCAAGTGCCTGAAGCATCTTCATAATAAAAGACAGTAACCTTGATGAAACAATTATTAACAATGTATTACAGAAAGCTGAGGGGAATTGTGAGTGAATAACCATAGGTTAGTGGTTGAATTTTAACACTTAAACAGTTGGTGAATGAGGACGGAGAGTATAGTAAGGAGTGACTGTGTGTGGCAGGCCAGAACGGGGGGTTTCTTTCTATTCTCTATGTTTTTAATCCTATTTTGGAACTGATCTAGGGAGTCTGATGCTTTAAAAAAAAAAAAAGCATATGTAGTGAGACTGAAAATTTGAAAAAGAAGCAAAGAGAAGAAAGATTGCAGCTGGTAGGAGAGGCAAGAGTGGCGAGGTTAAAGAGTGGGTGTGAACAGCAGTTTATTTATAGGAACTCAAGCCTGGGGGTGGGGGACTATAGATTACATTCAATTGAACTCACAACCTAAATTATATAGGCTATAGCCTAATAACTTGGTGGCTGAAATGTGACATTTATCCTCTGTGGACTAAACAGGCTTTGAGTCTTGAAGGAAGTTTGTATCATGACCATCACCCCCCAGTCCTGGGTGTTAAGAAGAATGAGTTGAGATGCCTTGTGAATAAACCTGTAAGGTTCTCCTCCCCCTCAAAAAAAGTTTTGCAAATATACCATCATAGATTTTAATTATTAGCCTTTATGCTGTATGAAAAGCCAGCCTAAGAACAAGAGTTAAAAAAAGAAAAGAAAAGAAGAGAAAACCTCAGTTCTGGATGTCCAGTTCTGAGACAGAATAAATACTATGGTATTGAAAGCTCCTGTGCCTATCTTTACTCTTAGCTTTTTCCATCATCTCGATGGGGGAAATTTTGGGGAGCTCTTTTGTATACTGAGTATATTAACTGAAATCAAAAGGCGCAGCAAGCAGCTATGGAAAGTTTATTTGCCGATCTGTGGCTATATGATGTGTGGTTGTGGTCCACGAGGCATGACACTACTTTAGAAATATTTGTTGTTGTTGTCATTTATTTGTTTATTTTCATGGCTTCCTGTTTCTAAATTCATCTGCGTTTTGCACTATTGGGGGAATGGGAAGGAATCTAGTGACAGGGTTTGTAGAATGAGAAGTTCACAGTTGTCTGCAGCCAAAAGCTTTTCTCATGACATTTCTAGGGGTCTCAACTACTTGGTTTTCTAGAGCAGTTTCTTGGCAACTGTTTTTCAAGTGGATGTATGAAACTAGAGCATGCTGATGTTTACATAGAAGAGATAAGATAAACTAGGCTGTTTGGAGTATTGACTGATAGACAATGCCAATTTATGGAACTATTGTAATATTTAAATTATACTCAAGAAGGAAGTTGTACCTAAGAGGACAACACTTTAATAATTTAACAATCATCATCTTTGGATAAAAGAGTCAACCATAACATTTGTTGCTCCTCTTCCTGGCCCCGAATCAAGTAAATATGACAACTGATTTATTTTGAACCCATGAGGGCTTGCCACCTCATTGGGCATCATAATTTAAAGCCTTTTATTTCCTAGAGATCTGAACTATAGCATTTTTACTTCAGCCCCCTGCTATTTGTTTTGAAAGGAAGCAAATAATTTGTTCCACCAGCACACCAAGTGGGAAATGACGAGGTTTGCCACCGACTTGAATGTTACGCGGGAGGTGAGAGAAAACCCTGGAGAGTCGTCACCATTTTTGATATTTTTGAACCATAGGCATATTGATTGTACTCATTTCCGGGCCTCCCTCTACAAGGGAAGCCCTCTTACGCTTCAGCCTCTCCTGTAAGCACAGCCTCCCTCCACCCCTCAGCCACAAAAAAGTGAAAATACCACAGAACCACTACCTGAGAAGTGGTCTGAGTGGGACATTTGCAGCATGTAAATGTGTCCAATTTGAATCTCCAGGTTTATTTTTTCATTTGCTTTGATATGCATATTTAATACATTGCCCCGGGCTGGATCTCATTTGGTGCGCGCTGGTGCAGGGGTGGTGAGGAGCCCCTTCAGAAGGACCCAGACGGTGTGTTGTTTTCTCTATTTTATCTGTTGGCCCACTATTCTGATCTACTGCGCTTCCTCGTGGTTTTATTTGCACATGAAATGCTGAGAGCATTTCAACTTATTGGCTATGAATAATGACAGCTAAAAAGAAGTGTAGTTTAATTTGTTGTGTGCCAAGGTTTCTCTTGTGGAGGTGACAGTTTGTGACAGCTGTTTGACACCCCCAAAACACATACACCTCTCTCCTTATTAAGTAGTATCAAGCTACATTGTGTGTGTGTGTGTGCACGCGTGCGCGCTCGTGTGTGTGTGTGTGTGTGTGTGTGTGTGTGGGTGGGTGTGTGTGTTTAAGGAAGGATAGGGCAAGGAGAGAGAAAGAGAGTGAGAGAGAAAAAAGAAAGAATAAGTGTGTAATTCTGTGTAGTGGGAAGCAGAGAGAGAAGCATCAGGAGTAAAATATTAGGTACCAAAATAGCTTTTGATTTTCTTATTAAAAATGTTGAAAATAGAAATGAATAAAAGTAATTGATAGAAATATCTTGAAAGCAAGTATTTTTGGCAGACTTTTAAGAATGAGTTGTAAATACCGTTACTTAGCAAATCAGGCTGTTGTCATGCTGATTTCACATTTTGTAATTTGATGTCAATAATCTGATGTAACATAGATGAATTAGAAAAAGACAAACATAATGTCTTACTTTCCATGTGTTACACGCAGTAAAGATACTGAATTTGTTCATTGATTACTGACACTTACATTACGGGCATAGTGATAAAAGGAAGTTTGGAATTAAATAGGCAATAAAATTTGCAACATTGGCTACTTTTTGTCATGTTTAGGAACTTCATAATGAATGCTTCTATTTTTAATTATAATGTACGTTATCTTATACTCTTATAAGAGTAATTGTTATAGGTAGGAAATAGCTATTATAGTATTCTTTGGAGTACTGGGGAGAAAAAAATATGATGGTGAAAGGAAATAGAACTCTATTTTCCAGCTGCAGTTCATGTTAAGTTTCCCAGACATTCAAATTTATTATGTTTAAAGTAAACATGTCAAGACACCAATTCTTTAAAAAAGTTTCAACCTGAAAACTGTTGTGGAATAATCATGCTTTTCCTAGCCTGTAGAATTTCTGAATAATAGATGATAGCCACATTTTCTACTTTACATAATTTTAGACCAAATCTTTAAATCTGATGCAGACAAATGAAATATATCTTTATGTAAAGATATGTAAATGTATCTTTAGATCAAGTTTAGATAAATGAAATATATTTCTTTGCAATATATTTTCTGAGCTAAGTTCTATTTGCCTGATGTGCATACAGTTATATTGTTATTCCTAGTTAATGTTCACAAAGAGCTGCATTTTATTTTTTTTGCATGAATTAAGTAACGGGAAGAAAGTACAACTGATAGAATTAACAGTGGATGACAGGTGCCTTAAAATTAGCTGGCTCTGATAACATAATTAACAAAAGAAAAATTATTTTAATTTCTATGTTGAAAGCTGTACTTTAAGTGAAAATATATTGTGTTTTCTTTTGCATCTCTGAATACATCACGTTTATTTATGTCTATGCAGTTTTAAAAAATAAGTTAGGTCAGAGGAGAGAATGCCCTTGTTCCTGACAGAATACGGGCAATCGTCTATAGATAAATTCTATTACTACCTGAAAAATTAGTGGGGAGTAGGCAGCGAGGAGAGGAATAGGTTTAAGTGATAGGTCTATAGAATATCAAGGGGAAATAATTGGATTTGAAAATAATATTAATAAAATGAGTGATTTATGTTATCAGATAGTTTCTTAGGTTCTAGTGTGATCTCAGACCTTACAGTATGATACCCAAGGCCTCCGGGGACCCATTCCGCGGAAGTTCTCTCTCTCAGCTCTGTCCACCAACTCAAGGAGATGTGGCCGGGGGCATGGGTTTTCTCTGGTTGTTGTTGTGTAGTTTCCGGTGGTTGATAGCTTTTCTGTCAATTTCCCATCAACAATAATTATGTTATGTAAATCGTTTAAATTGTGCAGTTGGAGTATATTTTCAGTGTAACTGTGATGAGATGAAATTAAGCAAAAGTGCACCTGACAACCACAGATATCACTATCAGATTAAAAACTTGATATTTTAAGCATTCATTTTCCTATTTTTTTCAGACTGAATGTTCTATGGAACATCCCAATACAATTCAGGATTATAGGAGACGTTTGATAATATGACAGTACACCAACAATGCAGGAAATTTCTATCTTCTCTAAAAGTTGCTCCATTAAATGGAGGAATCATTTGCAAGAGAACTTGCTGCTTCTGTGAGCGTTGCTCATATATTAATTCCCAAAGCTTAATAGAGGGTGGAAGCTGGGAGATGAGGGAAAGACCCCAGCTCTATTTACATTTTTAAAGAGTGAGCCCATGTTCTGAAAGCACAGACAGTTCTCCTGAGTTCTTATGTCAACTTTAGAATAACAAAGTTGAAATTCCAACATTTTTTTCAAGCCAGACAATTAACATTTTTAACTTTTGTAGGCTTAGCTACCTCAAGAGAGAAGTTTTCATCTTATTTTAAAAAATAGTTTTTGCATAATGTGAATTAGGGGTTAAAACATAATAAAGTCATAGGAAATATGTAACATTAATTATGTGGACTGATACAAGCATATCTTGCCTTTGTTGTTTAAACATATGGAGTCGAATTAGTTTTGCATGCTCCATTTGCTGATTAAAATATCTCTATATATGTTTAAGATTACTTCCTACCTATGAGCACATACTCTGAATTACTTTACTGTATTTTCGAAGTTCATAAATAATTTTTGGCTTGGAGTTATATCATATTTTACTTGTATAGGTTCTAGAAAGTCAAATGCTTATTTTAAAGTATTTTTTAATACTAGGAATAAGAAGCGCCAATTACCTTAGGGATTATCTTGTCTAACTTCTTAATTTTAAAGAGATAGAGGAAACAAGTCCCAAAGAAATGAAGTCCATCACTTGCATAAGGTCACATGATCAGTTAGAGGTGGCACCCTAGAGGCATCCTTCCAGTCTCATGCTCTCTCTCCTATACCACATCCACCTTTTCATTTGAATCACCTTGTCATTTGGGGTCTAAGATGAGTTTCACATGATTTTAGCTGGAACTTGCGTTTAGTATTGCTTTTTTTAGTCCTTGAAGCCTAATATATTTTACTTCCCGGCTCCGTTTTGTACTTATTTAGAAACACTTTTACGTTGACTTCACTGTCTTTTTGCTATGGAAGAACCGTGAGCTGTGTGGAATCATCTAAACAGGGAAATGCAACCAATTCACCAGGACTTATTAAGTGCTATCCTATAGGCAGATCCCCCACAGAAATGCCATAGTGGTGCAAAATGTTCCAATTTCCACCATATCTGCAACCTCAACAAAAGAGGCACACATATGATTTGCTTCCTGTGCCTGGAGACTCCTGTCCTTTCTATGCTCTTTCCTAGATTTAGCAAAATTCAATGATGGTGCTAAATCAATTTCTTTTTTTTTTTTTAACTTTCAAGGGAGAAAACACTGGCAGAGTTGTGTTTTCCAGGGAAAGCTGTGTGTAAATGAGAAACAGAGGAGAGCTGCATAGTGATCTCCTGTGGGCCCGCTACTACAAGCTCTCCCCATCTTGTCTCCTGCTTTTATATTAATTACAACTTGCATTATCAGCTGTGAGTCTGTAGCCCAGCAAATAGAAAATTCTGCCCCTGGAGACCTAGCTTCTTGTATCTATTTTCCGTCTCCTTCTATTGTGCTCCACTCAGTAGTCACTGCTTTTCTCCTGCTAATACTGCTCTTTAACGCAATTACGAAAGAGCAAGAGGAGTACCATATTTGACTCCCAATTATTAAAGCCACTGGGAATAGAAACATGTTCAGTCCTTGCCCTCGGGTGTCTTCATGATACCTTTGGCTGAAGAACAGGACGTATATTGTGGAATGCGTATAACCGAATGCTCACCCACGTGCATGCACACAGAGCATTTCTCTTTATTTTTCTACATACGTCATGGTTTTACATGCTTTCATATGCCACTATGGTTTCAAGATTCACTAAACTTCTGCATCTAATTTGGTAGAAAGCCAGGCAGTTATTCTTGAAGGATGTAAACTTGGAAACTATCTAGGGAGGGAAAAAAAAGAAGAAGAAAGGAGTTGTGATATAAACAAATATTTCGATTTAAGAAAAAACGGTGTTATGAGTAATGGAATATATTTGATCTCTTATGTAGATTACAATTTTTTTATGACCAAAGAGCTAGCAATGTTTTATTTTTTTATTGACCAGATTATCAATATTCGTCTTTGTATGTGATCAAGTCACCATGGTGTGGCTGAATATGACAACTTTGGGGTAACTCTTCAGCCTTGAAACCCCAGAGGGATTTCTCTGTTTTTTCTGCTTTCAAGTTGTGTGAGTATCATGGTGCCCCTTAGTTTGTGTCAGTCTCTCAGATTAGATCATAATGCTTGAGACACTATGGAAATAAACATCTTATGACACTTTTTGAGGAGAGCGTTTCTGAGGATGTGAGGGAGAAAAGAGGGAAGAGGCAGGGGCATGCTGGGCTAGGTAGTGAACTTAAGCAAATTTCAGGACTGGGCTGAAAACCCAGTTCATTTGGAGGAACCAGCTGCTCTAAAAGGAGTATTTGCTTCTGTAGCTTATTTTTCACCCTTTTACTTTAGAAAACATCTCCTCCAGAAAACCATTGAAAAAAAATAGACTGGATTATAAATTAATGGGCCTGACTTTAAAACTCAGTACAGGTTTGACTGATAAGGATACACCAGTATTTTCAGTTGCAGGAAGTCCTTCTGAGCTATCCTTTCAAATCACTATAGTGCCCAAACAGAAAGACTTGCTCCAGCTTCATTTGAATGATTATATAATAGCTATTGGATGACATTTGCCTTAAAACGTAGTTGAGGTGTTAGCGGTTAATTATTGTAATTTTCATGAGGGGTAAGGAGCTTTTATAGCAGGCAGCTTAATAAAAAGCCCGCAGTGCATAAAATTAACATCACTTGCTGTGTACACGGAAAAGTTTAGCTTAGGTGAATGTGTTACGGTGATGGCATTTTCTGAGAGAAGGCTCCAGCCAGCGTTGTTGCAGGACGAAACTCAGACCATGCTATTGTTTCTTTCCTTTTTTTCATGTAATTTGTCTAGCTCTTTATCTGATTCCCATCCGGCAAACAGCTGACACGCAGAGGCTGCAAAACTTGAAGAAGCTCTGTATGCTGTTTGCCTTTAGCTGCAAACTATTGGAGTGGATTGTAACTTGGATGAAAAGAAAGCTCACAGGCCTGACTTTGTCTTAACACAGGCAACAGAGAACCTGGGTCTCATTTTATTCTACTCAACTTCATTCCCTAGTCTACTTTCTTAAACATAGCCTTCCTTTGGACATCTATACCTGTGCCGTATGTACAGTCATGAAATTTCTGCTTAGGGTTTTCACTTGCAGTCACTTCTTTGCCTGATGGCAGTACCAGTAGCATTATTTGATATAGATGTTTTTAATCCATAGAGCTTTGGGTCATTTCATCATCTATCAAAATGCTAAATATTAACTTATAGTTAGTTTGGAGCAGATCTGTAGAGGAAAAAAAAAAAATAAGTTTTTTGTGGTTATTGTTCCAAACAAGAATAGTCCTCTATTTTCTCTCACCTTGGTATCGTGATTTTATTTTGGTAACATTTTATGTGCTATATGTAAATTATAGAGTTGATGTTGAGGAAAATGATGGACTGATTTTTTTCTAGATAAACTGTATATAATGACAACAGCAAGATTGCTTTCAGATGGGCAAGATGTTGCTTGTTGCCTATAGGCATGTCGGTCTGCCTGAATCCTTATTTACCAATTTTTCTAAGAAGAAATGGTGCACTTTGAGAGACTGATTTTTTAAAAATTTTGCACCCAAAGAATTTCCCCGCAAAAAATTCGCCTGCCTGTAGATCTGTGGGCTTAGGTGAAGTTGTCGCATACAGGTGGCAAATGTGCAGCCCTGGCCTTCAGGCTAGTCTGTTTCATGTGCTGTTCCTACTCTCCGTTTCTGCCAGAGGAAATTCCATCTCTTGCCTGCCTTCATGTGGTGCTGATAAAGTCCTTCCTGTACATTAGAATTCCTGTTTTCCTTTAAGCAACAGCAGGGTATTGGGAATGACCAGGAAAGGGGAGGAGGAACAGGAGAGGAATACACTCAGCAAAGTAGCATGAGCTATAACTCTCGGTTTGCCTCACGTGTCCTCTGAAACCAGAAAAAAGCACTGCTCTGTGAATTTAAAGTTTCCGTGGAGCTCACGTGAAAGCCCTATCCAGTTTATTAGATGGCTAACAGTTCAGAGCTGTTTCATTTTGTTGTTGCTCTCTGTGTAAATGAAAGCAGAATTGATCAGTCATTAGATATTGATGCAGTGATTAATATCATTGTATCTATGGGCTGGGTAATCAGATGGTGACAATTTTGAGAGTTCATTCAGGCTGTTGTAGGGCAATGCATGTGGAAGTTGCAAAGGGCTGCCCCATACATTCTTGAGTCTGTGATTTTTTTTAAGGGAGTCATTGAGTTTGGTAGATGTTAACGTTCTGAAGTATTTAGTATCTAAGAGCATTGAGACCTGTTTCTTGGAAGAGAGTGCCCTAATTAAGATAGCAGAGTGAAAATGACCTTTAGATTTTTAAGTAGGTTTTTCTAACTTTTAAAATGAACTTTATTGAGGTATAGTTTGTATATAATAAAATGCACTCATTTTAAGTGTTGATTTCAATTAACAAATGTATACACTAATGTCACCATCACCTCATCAAGATGCTGGAGCACCTTTTCTTCTTTCCGGTACCTATTGCTGAAAAGACAACATAAGATCTGGCAACGTGGCATCTATATTTGCCTAGTTCTACAAATACTAATATGTATACATTTTTTGTCTCTCTCTGCACTTTTCCTCTTGGTTCCTCAATTACGGCTGAAATGGTAACTGTGGAAAAATTCCTTGGCCTCCTGACATCAGAATCCTGCATCTTGGCGAGACCACGATGATGCCACCTCCACCCACTCAGCAGGCACCCCAGGGCCCTCCAGTGGGGGCCATGCGTCCCAGAGTGGAGACAACAGCAGTGAGCAAGGTAAAAGGTCAAGCATTTTCCTTGTGCAAAGTAGGCATGACTAAAATAACTTCAGTATTTTGCGATATCAGTACATCCGCCTCCTCATAAACAGGAGAGTGGCAGGTTAGGGAGTATAATCAGCTGCTGTTTAGGGAGACAGTATTTCCTCTCCTTAACTTACCTTATTTAAAAAAAAAAAAATCAAAGTGAGATGTCTAATCTTTAAGTAGGCATTGCAATAACAATTGATTAGTTCTGCCAATTCTTTTACAAATTTGGTTATCTACACTTTTCTTCTGTGTGCGTAGGTAAATAGAATGACAGATCTACTTTCCTGCTATGATGTAGTAGTTTGAATTATGCTATAAATGGGATATTTTGTTTGTAATATCAACTATAAGAGTTTTCTATAATCAAGCAACGATGCCTCTAAAGCACATACGATGCAAAAATCTGTTCTCATTTAACTCCGGAAGTACTGCGCGCATTTTACGTGGAATCTTATCTGCAGAAGATGGATTTTGAAATTCTTAGATTATTTGTCCCCATTTCCATTCAGCTCACTGGTGACTTTTGTTGCAAATCCTAAAAATTAGAATAATCAGAGAGCAAGGGGGTCATCAACTGCAGATGACAAGGAAGCCTAGTGTGATTTATAATAAATTTTACCATTTAAAACTCACCTACTGCACAGAAAGCAATTAGATATTGGTAGGGATGACTCGTCTATGGCTAAAATGATAATTTAAAGGAAGATGCATTATTGAGTGTGGGCCAGGAAAGTGTATAGATTTTACTTTTTAATATTTTACATTAGATGGTGTCTGATCTCCTAGGTCTATTTCATCTCTATTATGACTGTGTTTATGGCCACAATATTTAAGCATTAGACGGTCTTCCAAGTAAGGGACAGTTTAACAGCTTGAGCTGAAGTTATATATGCCATTTAAAAGAGAGTGGCTGAGGTAGGGTGAGTGCCTTCCCTCCAAGTTTCTGGCCAGAGATTTTTTTGGATTTCTAGTATTCTAGAAGAGTCTAGAGAAATGTCCTTTCTAGGATGCCATGAACTTGTGAATGGGTGCAAATTAGAATCTAGGTTTAAGAAAGTTGCAACTAACACAGAAATGAATACCATCACCTCGTAAATTGTGGAAGAGCTCGTAAATTGTATCTATTTAGGCTTTATATATTGTTTTCTTAGATCAGTTAGATTGTACATAAGAAAACTAAACTATAAGGCATTTTGAAGATGACATGTACATAAATTCAATGGATCTGCAATGCAATGGCTTAATTGTGGGTCCATATCATGATGATAGACTTCTCAGGGTAGTTAAATCTGGAAAGCTTTCTATGACTCCACCTTCCCTACCATCCCAAATTGCTGTGACACAAAGGATGAAATGCACCTATTAATAAAAACAAAACACCCTAAACATTGAACGCAAGAGGGGGAAAGGAGAAGCAGGCTTAATGGTCTAATGAGGCTATCTTCCAAAGCCTCGTGTGTGAGGCTCGCTTTGACCTTTCACTTTGCTCAGGAGCCCAGCGCTTCATTTTTCACATTCTTGCAATTACGTTAACGCTTCAAGCATTTCTGACTCCAAGTCAGCTAGCAACACCAGGCATAACTCAACACTGTGAGTTTTTCTCCTCTCTGTAGATTCATTAACAGGTCACCAAGGTCCCAACTGAAATTTAAAACTGACTGGTTCTGTTGGGTTGGTTGAGTTATGGCAAGGGAGATAGCAGGCAAGGACCAGAGCAGGGGAGGGGGAGAGAGAAGACCCTGGGCTTTGGAGCAGAGAATAGTTGTGGCAGCGAGCAAAGCATGGGGTTTTATCATGTTGGTTAGTTTTATTTGGTTGCTTTGGGTTTTTTTTTTTTTTCTGGTCAGGAAAGAGAAAAGCTCTGGGACTGATACAGCGGGTAAAAACAATACCCATAAACCTCTGTGTTGTGGGTAGCCGCACCCACTTATCCGATGTTGAAGGATTTGATCCCTGTAGGATTCTGTTCCTTTAATCATATCTCTGTGGGATTAAAGAATGGACACGGTAGCTTATGTGTATGAGTACTAGGAAGTCAGTCATTTTACTGTATTAAAGTGTGAGGGATAAAAAAAGTTATGATTCCTATAAAATGGAGAACGTTTTGGCATTGAGAGTTTCCTACCTGGCTTCCACATCAATGGTTCCAAACACATGTTGAAGGGTATTCTGTTTTTTACAGCAGAGTTTAAATTTTGAAAGCCAGACAAGTCTATCTTGTCATACTCGTGCCCATATTAGCCTTTTAAACATGTTTTCAAGGCATTTTGAGATTTTGTCCCACCGAATTGTCCAGAGTAGTTTTCTGAGGGAAAGATTAATTATCTGCTTCTGGGCAAAGTCAACAGAGATATTGACTGAAATCGCATATGCTTATCCTAGGTTAAATCTTAGGGTTGATGTATAATGGAAAACCTGGGAGGGAAATTTATGTTCTGCGTATTAAATATGTTATAATGTTTCTTTGGAAACCAAGTTTTTAGTTTAGAAAAGAGTTTTCTTGCTTATTCAGAATTTATTAGCACAACAGGCATATGGAAAACTGTAAAACGATTCAGTTTCAAAACAAATTATGATAAACAGAAAAAATAGGGAGGAATTGTACTAAATACAGTGTTTTCATACACATTTTAAATTAAACTTTAATAGCCATATGCTATAAAACAATACATGCATTTATGTTGCTTTATAATTCTTGTGAATATTTCTCCTAAGATGATTCATACAAATCTTTACTTTGGAACCTAAAAATACCTTATTTTATGACTTGATAGTGAAAGAGCTACCGTTACACAGGTGAAAGGTCACCTTTTCCTCCTCCGTGTTTGTGCAACAAACGGAGAGGAGGTGGAAAAATCATGTCTTTAAAATATTGTAAGAAACAAACTTGGTAAAATGTAAAAGCTGACTTTACTGTATCTTTCAAATAGCACATGCCTAGCAGGAAACTATATAAATATGAACCAGACTTTCATTCGCTCTGATTTCTTTTGCTAAAAGAAGCCAGAGGGACGGAGTTTGTCTTGCTAGTCACATTAAAACGAAGAAAAAAAAATCTAGTTTTTCAGAGATAAAATTAGGGTGTAGACTGGGAGCTCTGGGGAAGTAACTGGCCCCCTTTGTGTCTGGCTTCCCATAAGTAAAATGGGGCTTGATAATAAGGCTTGGGGTCCCTAATTCTCTACCTGCTGAGTCAAAAGCTGCTTTGTATTTCATTGTGTATTTTGCCAGAGTAAAGACTAGGAAGCAGCCCCCTTGTTCATAGAGCACTTTGAGAGCCTTAGATGAAAGGCACAATATATGTACAAAGTATTATTATTATTGATGGGTTTGTGTAACTCCCATTAACGCTGATGGGAGTTACGCATGTGAATTGGCAAGAGACTAGACCCCTCAGTGTTTAGAGCACATGAAATTTACATTTTTTCCAGTGCTGTAATTGAGATGTTGACAAATTGGAGAATATTGATGAGCCTTTGTTTTAAGTATTTCGTGCCAAGTTTGTTTTATTTTTCCTGGTTTGAACAATGGTATGGGTTCAGCAGCAATGAATAAAACGGGTAGAGTAAAGATAACTTTGTATTTCAATATTTTGATGTGCCAATATGAAATAAATTGTCTTAGGCAAATGGAATATGCTGTTTTAATCATTAGCTATGCATGAAAGAAAAATTGATGTTGACATCTTTGCTGTAAAATCGTTGTAATGGGGCCTTCCTTACAATTCATTTTTGTAAAATTCATTTTGTACATTTTGCAGCAATTGAACAATCCCTGCACTGTGAATAGGCAGGATTCCCAGAAATACCGAGACAGTTGGCCCAGTAACTGCTGAGCTCACACTGCACACCACACGCACGTTAACCATGCTGTTGCCAGACCCAGTTTAACCTAAATACATTAGCATTCTAGCATCTATATGTCTCTAATCTTTCAGGACACAAGGCTGTATAAGCCAGCATAGTTCCCCTCAACTCTGCTACCTACCAAGCCCCTCCATCAATGTTCCCATCTATCATCCAGGCAATGAGACTAGAATTTCATAGCTAGGTATTTATTTATCTATTATACAGTTCTTTAGCAATCATGGTGTTGGAATCTAAAAATACTCCCTTTGTATTGAATGTAAGTGTTTATAGGTAAGCAAGGATCTAAAATAGTATTGCACTTTTGAGTTATATAAGGTGTGAAATAGTATTCTCCCCCGCCAAAATATTCCAGTTATAGGTTTAAAGGAGGGGGAAAAAACCTCAAACCCACTTACGGTGGGTCCTGAATATGTTCTACTGGGATTTCTTATTCAGTCTAGGAAAACTCTGTCAATGGAATGTTTTCATAGTGGCGGCAATCTCTTTAAAATAACCCTAAATACAATATGACAGATGCCATCTGGCATAATCTTTTGCTAGTTGCTTTTAACTTTTATTTTTCCTAGAGCTAAGTTCATCTAAAACTGGTCACTTACTGTTATGATAAATACAGTGACATTTCTTTTCCTTCCTGTCCTCCTAATTGTATCAAAAAATTCTCTGAGACTGTGATTGATAACGGAACATTGTCACAGAAGCAGCTGTGGTATATAGAATATTTATGTTGCATTTTCATTCTCTCCCCCTGCCCCCAAATAAAGTAAAAAAGAATACCATCCTTTAACCATCAGCAAACATCCAAATAATTTCTGTTGCTTTTCTTAGGAGTTTTTAGGATAGGAACCATTAGAAATAAAATTAAACTCTTCTAATAAATAAATGCTCTAGGAACATGTAATGGTGCCCATAAATGCTTAAAAGCTTTCTATAATTGCTGTTAATTTTGAGTAATTTCTTCCTATATGTATCAACTTACTTGAAAAACCCGGAGTTGGGATTTCTAGATTTTTTTTAACTTAGTCATGTAAAGGGATGTCTCCTGATGCCAGTTAGAGTTTAATTTAGAGTAGTAATTAAACTTGAATACTGCCTCATAAAC